TTGCAGACGTCAGTCAGGTCAGAATCGTGACAAGCTTATTGGAAAATATAATGAACTGTGTCCTGCTTCCAGAAAACGAGTCAAAACCACCCAATTCTTTCTGAATTACGTCAGATTATCTGATCTGTAAGCACCCAGGTGGCATTTACTGACAGGGGCACCGAGAAGGATCATCTGAGGTGAGGTGAGGTCATCAACAGTTTTTAGCCAATAAATCACGACATGATGGGGCTAAATAGTTGTTAGTGTACCAAACCGTTCGCCTGGTCATCCGTCATGACGCGCCGATTGGTACCCAGCGTGACCTTCCTAGGTCAGATTTTGAAGTTGACCTATCTATGTAGGTCGTTATAAGCCATGTTATTTGTTATGACCTCTGGCGACCTCAATATTGACCTGACCCAAAAAAGTTGTTTACAAAAGTTGTTAGTCGTTCAACCAACTATCAAACGCCGTTGCCGTTTGTCGCTACGATTCGTGCTTTTTGAGGTCTTAAAAATATAATCAAAAAAAGTAACCGTACAAAAAAAGTAACCGTTATGAGAGTACGGTTACTTTTTTTGATAATATTTTTAAGTATGTCTATGTCTCTCAAAACAGTGCTCACAACAATTCAGACTTTTTGAGTTCTGACGGGGGCCAAAAAGGCCCCCGCCCGATTCAGTCTTTCAGAGCCGGCCCGGAATACGGCTAAGCGCTTGAACGATATATGATAATACACCAAGTGTTACTCTGTCTCTTTTTGATACGGAAACGCGTCCTTTTGGGTGGGGTAGCGTCAATCTGGCTTCGTTCTTTTAACGGGTTCCGTCTTTCGTCTTCGTCCTTTTATGATAACCAAATTCCGTCTAATCTCAGAAATGACGGAGCGTCCCTCCGTTCTTTTCTTTATAAGAATGGCCGGCGCTGGCCATATGAAAGCTGAACAAAAGTCTGCATTATGTTGTATATGTAATTATGTAGGCATGAGACCCTCTGTAGAAAGGAGGCCCCTTTAGGGAGGAGGCCCTCTGTAGAAAGGAGGCCCCCGGGGTTCCTCCGCCCCTCCCTTGGCCAAATCCTAGCTACGTGCCTGTGGACATGACATGTGTGTCCCGTGTTCGGTGCTGTGAATGTAATTGACTTTTTTCGGTTAAATCATCCTTTTGCATTATTTGCAATCAGTATTCAGTGTAAATACCTATTACGAGCTTCGATGTCAATATAAAGCTCACACGACTTTTACATGCAAGTTAACCATAAAAGAAGACGAATACCTAATGATTTGTGAATCCTATTCCTTTAGATCGTATACCTGAAGCCTGAGCCATTTTTCGGGACTGATGTCGAATGCCTGCCTACCTACCTATCGGTATGGATAAATCAAATGGTTTCTAGACGCTTCACAACACAAATCGTTAAAGTAAAAGCCTGGTATCTGTTAAACACATTCGCTTAAGGTAACTTCACTTGCTAATGTTCACGCATCGCACATCACTCAATTGCTGACGTTATAACTTATATTCGGTGTAGGAAAGTATTTTTACAGGCATAGGTAGGTATTAAAATAACTCGTAGGTATTTTCATATTATTATCATAGGTATTAACCCTCGCCCTGGCAGGGGGGTCGATGCGACCCCCCCCCCTAAGGTTTTTCGAAGATAGCGTAAAAACGGCGGCGCGCAGCGCCGCTAAATTTGGCACAGCCTATGGGGCAACCTTTTTACATATGACCTGAAAATTTCAGGTCCGGGTGACCTTGGGTCAGGTCACCAGGTCAGAAAAACCGGTACAAGGTCATGGTCAAATTTCAATTTTCTTTTTGCACCTGCCCAACTCACAGTTTTGGACTGATTTCCTTCAAACTTTCAGGATGTGCTAAGTTCACCGAGTTGTATAACATATATTTCGGGTTTTTTGAGGTCACTGACCTGAGGTCAGTTAGAGGTCATTACGTCGTAATGTTAAGCCTACGGGAAAATACTAAATTCAGAAAATACTGGAGATATCCGCTTCGTTCTATCACTTTTGTGCTTTGAAACCACAGTACTTAACAGCAGGTCTTTGGTGCTTCTTTGTTTGGTGTACTTATCCATGGGTCAGGTCAAATGAGGTCAACTGAGGTCAAATGACGTTTTTGCCAATAACTTGGCACATAATGACGCTAGAGCTTAAAAATGGTATCATTGTGCTCCTGGTGATCAGTCGAATCGAATGCGATATGATGCAATTTGGTTAACTTGAACTTAATTTATTAATTTAAGTTTACTTACAATTTAAGAAAAACTTTAAGTACACTTAAGCAAGCTAAAAAGTATACATTTGACGCGCCTTGACGTGCTGAGCTCACTGGTGCTTTTCTTTTTGCTCTATCTTAATTACCTAGATCAAAAGTTATAAGCGAAAAACCTTTGACCTGTTTTTAGCGAAATGTTTACATTTATGCCCCCAAAACCCCCCTAAATATTGACCTAGAGCAACCAAATTTGCACAGGGGCGAGAACTCCAGGGGACCCACCTACCTACCAAATTTTGTGTTTCTAGGTGCCATAGGAGCCAATCGCGAGGGAGGCGGGTCGCATCGAACCCCCCCCCCCCCCTGCCAGGCCGTGTTATGAAAAATGCCCTGCCAGGGCGAGGGTTAAATAACTCGTCCTTAAAACAAAGCTGTAAAGCCTCTGACCCAACGGGTCGAGGTTTGATGAACTTCAGAGTCAGGTATTTTTCTTTCTACAACTAGACTTCAGGCATATCTTAACTCTTATAAACGGCTTAATTGATTATTTACCCCGAGCATGACTGCGTTATATATTCTTGCAGAGCTATAGCCTTCCTGTAGGTATAGGATAGGCAAGCTGTCTGAACGAATTGAGAAACGTTTTGGTGGGACCTGACTGCGATAAGAGCTTCAGTGAGGATTGGAGCTGGACAGCCGACAGGGCAGCTGAGTTGAGCTAACTGGCTAGGTTAGCCTGATATCGAAGTGATCGGTTTTGAGCTCTCCCGAGCTGGTGGCAGGGCTGAGCACAGCCATTATAGTCGTATGCAGAGTTGAGCGAGGTGCAAGATTCCAGTGGTCTGCAAGCAAGGTTTCCAGCTGGTCGCTTGTTTTTTAGCTGTCTGACGTCCGCCTGCCGGTCACCCAATCAGGTCCTGTTTGGATTGGCCCTGGCTCCTGATCCCTCACCAGAGCCACCCGTTGCGTTATCGGCTGGTGATCTAGATTACCGCGTAACCGGTACATGCATGCCTGTCATCTCTTGGCTGGGATTGAAACTAAGCTTTGCGTTTTCCGTCATACGACTTACGAGTTACGAGCCTGCTGTTCCGACTCGCTACAATACAGCAAACCGAATCAGACCCTATCACCTTTTAGCGACTTTTTGCTCTGCTTTGATTATTTTAATTACCTATAAGCATAAATCATAATGCAACACGATCGAAGCAGACGTCGGCAGAGGTCCATCGGCAGTCGGCACTACCTCCCCCCCCCCCCCCCCCCCGCCGCAGGTTGTCCACTGTACGCAGTGCGGTTGTTGAACGTTGGTGATCGTCACAAAACGTTGTTGAACGTGGTGATGGCCCCCGTCGCCCCCCACCCCCTTGGCTACGTCCCTGCCGTCGTTGGCCGCCCCCACCCTCCCCCATGCCGTTGTTGGACCGCCGTAGTCGTACCGGCCGTACCGTCGTCGTTGGCGGCCCGGGAACCAGACCCACAGGTGTGCCGGTGTGGTGTCGGGTTCGCCGGTGATCGGCAGGCGTAATGTGCTCCTGGGAGCCCACCCCTGTTCTGTGGGACCACAGGAACACCGGGGTGGCCGGGGGGAGGCGGGAGAGCGGGAGGTAAGGGAGAGAGTCGTGCCGGAGACGGCGGCAGGCGTGTCCGAGACGGGATAGAACAATGCCAGGGAACGACTACGGCCGGACACTGTTAGCATAAGCCCAGGCGATCGCAAGTTACTGTGGCTAGATTTGAGCATTTGCGCTAAACAAGACTGGAAGGCGAATGTATCGAACCAGCAGAAATAGACGTAAACTTGACATGAGCCCACGACCTACGCTGCGCAGTTTGCAGCGTTCGCGTTTTTTTCTGTTTGCCCACCCTCCGTCCCTAACCGGCGACCCCCGTTTGCACTGTTCGACAGATTTCGGTTTAGCGGCAGCGGAAGCCGTCAGCTCAAGTCCAGCGAGCACTGTCAGCACCCGACAGCAAATGGCTGACGGGTGGCACAACCGTGAACACATGACCGCTCACTGGCCACTGGGCAAGAGCGCAGCCGTCCGGTTCAGACAGACACTGCTACCTGGCCTGTCGCTCTTCTTCGCCCTGTCCGGATAATATACGTATAATGTGACCGCTGGCATTGAATGGTTCTGCACCTCTGAGAGTGAACAGGCGACGGAAGATGATCATCGCCCCGACTCGATATCACATTGACCTCGCTCTTCCAACCCCCCCCCCCCCCCCCTCGCGCCAACAAAACTAATGACTGGTCTCACGACAAATCTCGCCTCAGACCTCACACCTTTAGCGACGAGCCCGCCCACTCAGCTCAACCAACCCATCAGCTGTTGGAGCTGAGTCCGACGAGCCACCCACCTGCACGTCCTCCCTCCCCCCCCCCCACCGGGTCAGAGGTCAGCTCTGACCGCGACCGGACGCCGCCGCCGCCGGCCGTGTCACTCAAACGGACAAATCTGGTGTCAGCGGGGCGGGCCGCGGAATAAAGCCGAGCGGCGGGTGGGGTGTGAGTTACCTCATTTACAGGCAAATTAGCATGGCTCCGGTACGGTGGGGGGGGGGAGGGGACTAGGGAGACGTGGGACTTCGGGGAAGGACAAAGGGAGAGAGAAGTCGGAGTTTGTGGTTAAAACTCACTGAGTGGCTACAACCGAGGAAGTGCAGCTTACTAATCTATAGGTGGCGGATGGGTTGACTGACAGTCAGCAGCTTGCGATTACGAGGTTCAGCTTACGATGTTGATCAGTTATCAGTACATTTTCAGTCGCAAATAAGTAATACTGTTATTCAATTGTATTCTCTTCAGTCTTTTCAACAAAGATCTTACACAAATGGCGAGCGACAGTTAGTGACTAGAATGACGTCTTGTGTTAACGATACCACGACCGAACGCCGAAAAAGTCACCGGTGAGGGCACAACAGGAGCGATAACTAGCCTCCACATATCGCAGTATCTAAAAGCGCACTTAGGTACGACCATCTGCAGGGTCGATTCCAGTGTTACTCCATCCGGAATGGACTGTTCCACTGGGAATACAGCGGCAAACTGCAATATCAACACAATTACTGACCAGCATACTGGTCAGCGGCAGTGAGTAGTTCATTACTCCCATGTCAAAACAGTTGCATTAGAGTTATACGCAGCACATGCACCGTTACAAGGTCTGGAAAGAATGTTACAAAGTCCAAGAAAGTGTAGAAAAATGGTAATGCGACAAGAGTTACAAAACGAGGTTAATATCAAACAGCAACGCTCTCAAAGAAAACAATAATAGCCGAGTGATCCTGCAGGATTCATTTTCTTCTATAAAAAAAAACATCAGAAAACGCGCCATAATTACGATAAATATTAGTTATACTGGAGCAGCCCGTGTAGCACAATGGTAATAGCAAACCATCTCAAACCTCCATAAGTAGCGTTTGGGACGGAGTCGGTCCCTCGCAATTATAGAGATATCCCCAAACATCACATCAAACCGATATGACCTCACGCAACGCCGACCGTATGGCAAGGTTAAAATGGACATATTTTGCACAATTGGGCCACTAACGTCCCCACTGACACACTATAAACAAAACTCAATCGCTGCTCAAACTCGAGCAGGTCTTCACAGCAGAGGTCTTTCTGCGCGAGATATCCGAAGCGAGAGTTCACAGTTCTGCCACTGGATCAGCAGATTGAGATGACAGCCAGCTGTTTGGCTTCTCACCACCCCACGACATAACGGTGTGCCTCTCCTCATGTCCACCATGCCGCTCATGGTGGGTCAACTCGAGCCTTCCACGGATGGGTCCTCCACCCGACCAGTCTGCGACCCGACCGTGTCCTTCACCAGTGTAGCAAGTCTTTACTCAATCAGAGATCCTTTCCTATAGCCGAGTCGAGTGTATTCCTGGGTGGGCTGCAGCCTCACAGATCATTGTAAGTCGTAACACTGTTGGGCGCAGAGCTTACCTTTATCGAGGCCACAGCGTGCCAGCGATGACGTAACAACGTTCCAACAGTGACGTGCAGCGTTCCACCGATGACGTCACAACGCTCCACCAGTGACGTGCAGCGTTCCACCGATGGCGTCACAGTGTTCCACCGATGACGTCACAACGCTCTCTCGCTGCCGTCACTGGGGCCGTCGCTGCAGCTGGTACCCGGCAATGCCGGGCAGACCGGTACCCACACGCTGCTGGTACTCGAGATACGCGTGACCGAAGAAGCTGATCAGCGTGGCCTCCTCGTACCGGACCCGGTCTCTGAAGAAAGTCCAGGAGGCGGCCGTGTAGCCCACCAGACAGATGGGGTTGTTCAGGATCAGCTGACGGAGATAGACAGGTGTCAGAAGGACGGTAACAGTGACAGTTGTCTGGAGCTGCACTCTGCAGTGGCCTTCAGCTGGACAGCTGCTGCTATGGTCGCTACTGATTTGATTATTTTGATCCGACATGTGTTAGATGAATAAACGAATAATGCAATATTTTAGGCCACGAGAAAAACTTATGCCGCATGAGGTAGTGATAAATCACTGTCAGCACAATATGCCCAGTCTAAGAAAACTGATAAAAACTCTGCATCTCAGATCTCTTCCTCTCAAGCCGGCTTCCGCTTGCAACGCCATCTGCCGGTCGCTATCTACGGAACCAGATGGTAAGTGTAATATAGGTGTCGCTAGTATCATGCACCCACCTGCGTGCCGACGCTCCACCAGAACCAGCCGACGTAGCTGGGATGTCGGAACCAGCTGTAGACGCCGTGAGTCACTAGCTGGTGGTCCGGACGCTTCTCGTTCTGATGAAGAGGAGAAGAGATGTCATCCAGATCAAGTGGGATGCACAAGTACTTGATGTGGATTAACGGGGAGAGGGGGGGTCTGGCCTCCAAATTCTTTCACGTACGGAATGACAAACACACATACGCCTAGAAAACAGACTCTAATGCTTGATCGTCTTGTTTGAGATGTATGGAAGACATATCAAAACGGTCAACGAACCTGACTCAACACACGACGATTATAGCCCATAGGGTCAAACGAGCAGTACGTTTTATCTATAACTGCAATCTGCATATTTGAGTGGAATTTGTAATGAAATATAATGTTCTGTGCGGCCGCCGGCAGCACACACCTGCACTATGTGGTTGAAGTTGGTGCGGGCCGTGAACATGGCCAGCTTCCTGATAATCTCGCCGGAGACGCAGAGCAGCAGACCCAGACCGATGGTGAAGCTGAACTCCTTCAGGCCTGCCGGAGGTAACGTGGAGGTTACAGGCGTCAGACGAAAGCCTTGCAGGCGGAGACACGGGCGATGGTTCAGTGAAATGATCGTGATGGTTCAAACTTGTCATAACGGATATTATATAAGAACATCGCTCTCAAAACACTCTCAAGCCCACATCTCACCAAATAGCCCAACACACACGAACAGTCTGAGCCACGCCAGGGCAAAGTGTCGTCCCCTGCCCTACACACCGCACCCCGACTGACCTGGGAACAGCGCGCGCTCGAGCCAGAACTCCGCCCAGCTAGAGGCGGCCGCTACAGAGTAGGCCCAGCTGTGGTTCAGCAGGAACGAATCGTTGCTGACCGACTGGGGATTGGTGAGCGCCGTGGCCAGGTACTCGGAGTAGTGGAACGCGCACAGAATCATCGCGTACCTGGCGGCGGTCACGGCACGGCGTCAGTGGAGGGGCGAACACGGGCACAGACACAGACTTGTGTTAGATAAACAAAGACACTTATGTGTGATTAGACAACATAGAGATTGGTTCGACAAAGACAGACATCGGTTACTTATTACTGTTGCCTGCCAAACACACTTTTTATATCGATCATCAAATTAACCCTCGCCCCGTTGGGGGGGGGGCATTTTGGCCCCCCTGTGGTTTTCCTGAATAGCAAGAAAACGGCGGCGCGCAGCGCCACCAAATTTTCAGTACCTTTCCGGGCATCAATTTGACACCTTCACACCAAATTTCAAGTCTTAGGTCACCTTAGGTCAGGAGTTATTGAGGTCAAACTGAGGTCATGTTCGAGCAAAAATGAGCAAAAAACATGCAATCTTGAAACGCTCACCAAATCTACAGTTATCAAGCAATTTCAAAGTTCTTTATATGGTCTAATAGACAAAAAGCGGCGCTACAAAACTGCTATCTCGGATTTTCAAAATTTTGGGTTTTTGACCCAAAAAATTTCAAAAAATTGATTTTTTTTAGAAAAAACTAAAAACGGGGAGTTCAATGGTGGTCTTTGTTTTGCCGTACGAGGTCTAGAATCGCTAAAAATTGAGTTCCAAATCCAAATCCAAAATTTTTCCGAATTTCGAAAAAACCGGAATATATGTGATATTCCCAGCGCTCTTCTATATACACACAAAATTTCAGATCGATATCTCGTTTTTTGGCCAAGTTATAGCGAAAAAACTGTTCAAAAATGATGACGTCAAATTTTGGAACTCAATTTTTAGCGATTCTAGACCTCGTACGGCAAAACAAAGACCACCATTGAACTCCCCGTGACGAGCTGCATCGATTCGATACCCATTTTATGCAAAAATATCAACTTTGAAATTTGACCTAATTTGACCTGACCTTGACCTGACCTTGACCAAAACGTGACCTAAGCTGGCCCCAAAGGCTGCCTGACCCACATAATCGCATTTGTCATGTAAAATGGACCATAAAACATGTATCACACGACACTTTCATATTGTGACCCCCCAGTGACCTGACCTCTGTGACCTGACCTGGTATCAGTGACCTCAACTAGCAAAATATGTGTTTTAAGAACATTTCCCCATCGATGATTTTCAATGACATGCATTTTACTCGATTTTACAACGCATTTCTTGAAATGCCTGTAAACGGTGAAAATTGGACCTTTGACCTGACCTGTCACTGTGACGTCATCGGTTTGACCTAGGTCAATAAAATTGGGTCACAAGGTAGTTCCCTGATAGGGCTATCCAACACCGTTTGCCGCTTGTCGCTAGGTTGCGTGGTTCTCGAGATCTTAGGGGGGGGGGCAAAATGCCCCCCCCCCCCCAACGGGGCGCGTTGCTCGGCAGAGCCCAACGGGGCGCGGGTTAACCCTATTAGTGGCAGGGGGGGTTGTTTTTATCCACCCCTCAGGTTTTTCGGGAATATCTCCGAAACCGCTGAAGCTACGATGCTGAAATTTTCTGACTTTTCCTAAAACTAAATTGGGCACATTCCCTGAAAATTTCAAGTTCATAACTTTACCAGGGGCGGCTCCAGAGCACTGGGAATTGGGGGTCCTATTCGTGAAGCGAGTCATTTGGGCGAAGATCACGATGCTGCACCAGTTTTACGAACAGTGAATGAAAGGTATCATGTGATAACATATACAAAGTCATTGTGCATCCTCTTTTGACACATTTTTGCTATAATAGGCGGATCCAGGCGTCCAAAAAGGGGGGTTATTTTTTACCTCCCAACATAGGTGCCCTGACACCGCCTATGCATGACCAATACAATTTTAGTCGTTCTCTCATAAGAAAATTGTAACATAACAAGACCATTGCCACCCTTTTTAGAAACAGTACCAACAAAAATCTTATTTACTATACTTTTTGTGTACCCCCAATCTCAATGATCTGTATCCGCCTATGATTTTTGAAAATGCATATTTTTAGGATCCATGTGAATTCCTGGTTCATTCTCTATCGATCGGGAAAAGTTGCGTTAAGATTGGTTCAGAAACCTGGCCGTGATAAACAGTCTAAAATGTATCTGCAATTTGCCCGTTTTTACCCCCCTCTACCCCCCTATTGACATTTTTTAATTTTATTTTTTTTAGAAATGTAGATCTCGTTGAGCCAAATCGAATGCCGTTTGAATTTTGAAAATCGGCCGGTTAGATCTCGAGATATCAAGGGGGGGGTCGTAAACAGCCCCCCCCCCCTGCCACTAATATGGGGTAGCCAGGACCCTGCCACTAATAGGGTTAAAACGTCACACTATCTTCGAGGTTCAACCTAAGGTTCAATCATGCCGCAGTAACTCGTATCCTTTACAAGCATCATTCACCTGCCAATAGAGAACACCCACTAGTATTAATATGTACTTCCAGAGCTAAAGAAGCAAAGAATAGGCGCTGCCCACTTCTATTTCCCTGGCTCGGCAATACCACTCACCAGCCGAACGCCTGCCACGAAGATGGGGCAGAGGTCACCAGAATGACCCCCATGGCGAACCCGTCACCGAGCAGCGCCGCTCGAATCGCCGTCTGCGGGTCAGGTCATATACGGTCACGGACTCCGGTCATCAAACAAATTGGGCATCGAAGCTGGGGAATGTTACTTCGTGATCATATAAAAGTATGCTTGGGTTTCGATAAATATCGATATCAATGATACATGACAGAAAGAAACTGAGATTCTATTTGACCATAATACACGGCTGTTATTTCTAAGCAACAGTCAATCGTTTGAAATTCCCCTCGCTCACTCAAACTGTATTCATGAATACAAAACAACCACAAGCTCCGATCCGCGGTCATGCCCTGCATTTTCGGCCCTGGTGCCACTCAACCTCACTTTTGACCTCAACCCCCGACCCCCTTATGTTCCTTGCCGTCACCCGGTAGCCACTGACCTGTATTTTCCGCCCCTGATACTGGCTGTGCATCACCGCCACGGCAGCTCCGCAGAACACCACTGCCACGAACAGCGCGTGGCCCATGAACACCCGATCAAAGAACATCTGCTGGAGGCTGGCTACGGACGCCGGTACGGCCAGACCCAGCAGGAAGCCGCGCGCGCTGACCCGGGCGTCTGACTCGCCGGGACGCGGACGGGCCGCCGCCCCGCCTCCGCCAGCGAGGGACGCCATCAGTCCTCAGAGAACGGCCAGCTGGGAACGGCTGCGGGAGGAAAACAACTGGGTGAAGGTCCAGTGTGAGTATTGATTGCACTGAATGATAATAAATACCTACATGGGAAACAATATAGTGTTCATTAATGAAACGAAGTAGAAATAGTGGCTAGGGCCTACATTATACTAAATATCCAGGAATTTCAGAAGGGATAAGCACTTGCTATAGAAAACCATAGTTGACCGGATTAAATCACATAGATGCCTTGTCTTCAATGTTATTACTTTGACTAGTGCTACAAAGAACAAGATCATACCAATATCTATCAAAAACTGGGAAAGGGCGAAGTAAGTAGGTATTTTGATCAGCAACCATGTGCATAGTTTCCTGATCAAATTCAGCGCAACTTTAGTAGACAGGATAGGCATCTTGAAGTACCTACATATTCAATTTCAATAGCATGTGTTAACATTACCAGCATTTTTGTGGAAAGATATTGATAAGAGTTTAACTGTGTGATACTTAAACTTAAACAAATGTTGCCTATCAAAACTATATTGCCCCAGTGACCAGTGCATACACTAAATTTGTTGGGTATGTAGCCTGTAGGTATGTGTATCAGGCCCATGGACAAAGTGAAATTAGTTATTATGCTATTGCACAAGTGACCACAAATTGTTAGCTGAGCCCTGTGCCCAATCTCATAAAATGTTATTTAGGCAGCATTTGGCAACATGGGTAATGCATATTGATACAGGTTTTGGCAAAAATGCACACCGGAGTTAACAAAATGAGCCCCAGAATGATCATCATACGATGGGCTGAACTGTGTGAGAGCCTGAAATAAGAGAAAGAAATTAATAGCTGTATTCTGTACCTCATTGAGAGAGCACTAGAAATCCTATCTTGATTTATTGGATTTATAAGAAGAGTCCTGGGTGGTGTTTCACCGGACGCTGCCGGCTGCTACCACACTGCTAGCAAGTTTCACGAGCTAACATCACAGATCAAAATTGTGGCAGTGTTAGAGATACAAGCTTGTTGATGTCTCCATGGAAACCCAATTTGACACAGTGACGTCAGACGTGTGCTGGCATCACGCTCGCAGCGGCTGTGAAAGAGCCCCAGTGGCAAGTTGTAACTGGTAAGATTCTATGACCATGGTAATATTGAGCTCTAAAGTGAAGTTGAAACTGAAATTTAAATGTCAAAACTGGCCCCAAATAATCAAATTGCAGTTTTTTTTGCCAAATAACCTCAAAATCATTTATACAATGTCAATGACCACAATGGCACAATGACATGACGGATCCTCAAATCACAATGCCAAAAATAAGCAATTCGATTCACATACAATATGTTGCAGTGCTCTTGCCTTAACTGATTTCTATAGCCTTGGTTGAATTATATCAATATATTGATATAGCCTGGCCTTTGCCTATAACTTCTTTGTCTTCTTAACGCATTTATTGTCAAAGATTTTCACGATCATACAATCTGTCATTCCACGACCTATTTTTTAAAAAATATGGATTAATAAGTAACGTTTTTATTACGTATATATCCCGATCCGTGAACAAGTCACTATTTTTCAAGACCTTCAAGACGTGTCCCCTATTTATAAACTTTTCAAACTTCGATAATTTAGCAGCGTCTTCCTAAACTCGTCATGGCGCATCTGCTACAACTGGATTAACAAGGTTCGCTGAAAAGTTGTTGCTAGAAAGAAGCTGATTACATATTATTATTAAGCATTTTTTCCAAACATTTTCGCGTTTAAATCTTTTTGTAGTTCAAAGTGAGTATTTCATTATATATTTGATTTATAGTGATCAAAAGATACCATCAAAGCTCATTTAAATAAGCAAATAAACGTTTACAGCATTATGACGTCATTACTAAAGAAAATGAGATCGACGTGTCTATGCAGCGAAATGTAAACATTCGCAAGTCATTCACCTTTGTGATAATTGGTTGCTTTGCTGTAGGTAAGTGCTTTTCGACTATTTTGTAATTTATCGGGTTCTATTGGTCTTTATCTTTCATTTCGTAATTTGCCAAGATAATACGCTCTTGTGATGGGTGAAATTAAAACTGAAAAGTAGATAGGACTGAACTTGCTCATTGCTGTGTTGCAGCTCAAAATTGCGTAAACCCCAAACCAAATGGAAACGGTCTGCATTTTGACTCAACTATATCATATATTACTATATCATATTATTATATAACTATATCAACTATATCATGATATGCACTTCATTATCGAATTATTAACCGCATTGTTGCGACTAAAACTTTTCTCTGCCGAATCGGAAAAACAGAAACTGCTGCGTGCGACCTTTGTGGTAACGACGATACATTGTTTCACGCTCTGTATACATGCAACATAATTCAAAACTTTATACATAATTTAAAATCACATGTTCAAAGTCATTATAATATCAACTTAATAACAACACCTGAAAGCTGGATATTTCCTTGTCGTGACAAGGAAACAAACATTGAAATACTCATCAAATTGGTAGCAAAACACACAATAATGCGCTCCAAAAATAAGAACCGTCCCCCTAGTATCCCTTTGTTTACGTCCCTGCTCCGGGCAGAAGCCATGAAAGAAAAAAAGGCGGCTAAAAACTCTAGGCAATTTGAAAAATTCGAAAACAAATGGGGGAATGTTATAAATATTCTACAAAACATAGGCACCGATTGAAATGTGATGGCCGCCGCCGTCACCGCCGCCGTCGTCGCCATCCCGGTCGCTGCTGTCGGGGGGACCTGGGCTGCCCGCCCTCGCCGCCTCCGGAGAATGGCTGCCGCTGCCTGGCTGCTCGGCCTGCGCTGCCGTCGGCCGCGTTTCGGCTTCCTGCGTCGCCGCGGTGGCCGTGTTGGTGGCCGTTCCCTGGTGGAGCTGATCCGGCTGCTGTGCGCTGATGTGCGTTCTGACATTTGTAACAGGGACGGACGCCGGCACCGATACCCGAGTGGTGTCATACCTGTCAGCTGACGCGCCGCGCGTCCGTCTCGCGGTGGGTGGGTGGGGCCCCCACCGTGGGGGAGGGGGCTGTCGACGAGATGAGCTGAACTCCGCTCTTAATGCGATGTTGCAATGCGTCGTGCGTCAACTCCGTGCTCCGTGCCCGCGCCCCGTGAGAGCCGGGCTGTGGAGGCCGCCGGCGGGCGGGCCGCGCTTTGGGCGCTGCCGACGACGGGCCATATGTACGTAAATGTCTCCGCGGCCTCTGTATTCGGTTGGTGGTGGGTGACGACCGCTGGCATGCCGGAAGGGCTTGTGGTTCAGAATGGTGAAAATGATCTAGTTGATATGCTATTTATGCAGTTTCATGTGCTCTTTACTGCATCTTTTGTGGGCGGATCGCGGAAGAGTGGAAGTGTGATGGATGACTGGACTGTGGCAGTAATGCTGTTTATTTGACAATAAATGCACTTAAAAAAAAAAAAAAAAAAACTATATCATGATATTGGTAACATATAACTTCAGGTTTTTTGCTTTTTTGTTATTTCAATGTTCTGTGTTTTTATCTTAACTCTACCTCGCCTTATCTGGTCATCAGGATCCTGAGGATCCAGACTGGAAAAAATACATGCTATGGCGAGCATTTTCAGCATAGTGGCGGGACTGCACCGAAAATTTCAGCGCACGTCCGTTGTATTCGCATGTGCCAAATTCAGCATGTGGTGGCTGCTGAACTTTCGGCGCAGGGCGGCTGCAAATTTTTTTGGTGAATGGCGGCCTCAAATTTTTCAGCACGCTGATCAATCTAGCAGCAGATTCACCCTGCGGGCAGGTCTCAGTCTGGAGAGGGTTTGGGACGAGACGTCCCTCGCCTCAGTCGTCTAGTGCTCTAATGTGTGAGCTGCCCTGAGTCTATTCAGCAGAGGAGTGTCCACCCGGGTGAGGGCTCCACCGGCACCCTTGGCTCGGAGACAGGTATAGAAGACCTTGTTGAACGTGGCCGAGTGCTGTGAAATAATCCTGCAGTGGGTTCCAGGCTCCTGCTCAGTGCTCATTGCGGAATCGAGGGGAATGCGATTGCGGACGCCCTGGCGAAACAAGTGGCCGCCCTGCCCTCAGATGCTCGCTCGCTGACCAGGGTGGTTCATTGTGCGGCCTCGCGTCAAAGGCGCAACAACTGGTCCGTGTCACTATTCAAGCCACTCTTCGGGAACACTTTGCCGCTCCCCATCCTCGGAGAGGACCGAGAGGACGCCGTTTCGGTGCACCAGATGAGGGCGAGCCACTGGGGTCGTTCACTCCCGTACGTGCACCGAATCAGCCGTATCCGCTCCGCGGCATGCCAACAGTGCCTGGACAAGCGGTGCCCGGCGGGGCTCTGCGCCGTGTGCCGAGAAGAGGTTGATGTGCCGGAGCACGTGCTGCTCAGCTGCCCGGCTCGGCCCTCGCTGGCGCCCGCCAGTCTCGAACACACCGCTGCACCGATATTTTTGGCCCCGGAATTTCCGGCCCGATCCTTGTTTCACGGCACGACGCTACAGTCCGCTACGTGTACTGTGGAATTGGGTTTATGGAAACATCAACTAATTCAGACGCTCCAACCCGGAACGCTCTGTCTGGGTGATATAGCTTTGGTCGATAGATGTGCACAAGTGCTTTATGTAAAAGTGACCTAATTTTGGCGCAAATACATAGACACCCAACTTTCGGCGCAAATCGTGCAGAAATTTCGGCGCAAAATCGCTTTCGCCGTATTTTAGCGATTAGGATCTCACGGGCGTCCGGCGTAGTGTACGGATGTTTCCAGTCTGGGTCAGTTTATGGGGTCGCTTGACCTATGGGCACTGGGTCAGGTGAAATTCATATCAATATCGGGAAGGCTGTGGACCTTAGTAGAGAACTTAGTACTCATGGTCTACCAGTGTCCAGTGGTAGCAAACCAGCTATGCCTGACAGTGGCACAGCAGAGATGATATCTAATGGCAGGGTGTTCCAGCCTATGACTGACGGCTTAAAGACTTCTTGCGCGAGAGATGCTTGGCGCTCAGCTTCCTCAGCTTCTACTGGTGTCCCATTGTGGTTTGGAATTCATGACTTGTCAGGAGTAACTTAGTGGCATGTCCAGGAGTCCATTGCACAGCTGTTATACATTCACCATATCTCCCCGATGGCGGTGGTGGTGGCGATGGGAGACCGAGACGGCGAAGCCTTTCAGGGTCCTGCAAGTCTCTGAGGTCCATGATCAGGCAGGTTGCGCATCACTGCAGTCACTTTATGTTTTTTTCTTCTGGTCCTATTTGGAGAGCGGACCCCAGGCGGCATTTCCAAACGCAAGGAACAGTAGCACTAAGGCCTTTAAAAGAAGCGGCAAGGTGAACTTATCGAGTTTTATGGATGGACGATGAATCATTGCGAGTGCCTGGGAAGTTTGAACGATGGTGGCGGCTGTCTGCATGTGGAAGCTTCGTTGCCTGTCCAGTGTCCATGATAATACCTGGGTCCTATTTCTCCTCGCAAATGCTGACAGCAGATTTGGCTATCAGCATTAATCAATATGCTATATTTATGTTCACTGATGTTTGCTTTATTGCAGGTTACATTTTGAAGATGCCATATATATCAGCAGGTAATTTGTCAGAAGACGTCTTTTTATATTTTTAAAACTCATTGAACTGTCAACTTATTTGTAATTTAATTTGGCTGAATATTGTCATGCATTTTTATTGTTGCTTCTAAAGATTGATGCCCTTACTTTGAAAACATGCTAATATTTGTTTACAAGTAAAATCAAATAAGGAGTGTCTAAGCATTAAATGAGCTTTTCAGCTCTGTTCATACTTCTAATTTGCTACCTAATACTTACCGTACACGACAGTGATTCCGCTCGGCTAATGCCGATCAATGCGTGCTCTGGCCTCTGAGACTGATTGCCGCAGTGGCCACAGAGGCGTTTCAGTTTAAACAATATGCTCTTGGTGTCTTTTCACAGATGGCACGGTGGGAGGTAGTCCCAACTACTTCAGTGTCCAGGGCCTGCTTGGACTGTTCTGGGCTGTAGTCAACTTCTTCCAGCTCTTGTGAGTGAACTGAGTGTTAGAGTGTGCGGCTAAAAGTCTTATTTGGGTCAGTACATTGCACATTTGGTCAGTACATATCGTATAAAAGCATTCTATGTGATTGCGGACGTGTTGTTCTTGTACCGTTCTCCACAGGCAGAGTGTTGTATTGTTGTGTGACAGTGCCTCAGAGTTAACTCTGCGCTCCCTTCGCCAGTTTCCGGACGCTGATCAGCCCTGACGACAACAAGCGTGGCAGAAGCTACACGTCTGACTACCGGGCGCCGGGTCAGGGCGGCGGTGGCGGGGGCGGCGGCGGCGGCGGCGGGGGCTGGGGCGGCGGCGGCGGCCCGGGCGGACCTCCGCGGGGCATGCCGCGCCGCCGTATGGGCGGCTTCAGCACCGGCCAGGGGGCGGCCGGCGCGCCGCCCATGGCCGGAGGCGGATGAGGTCGGTAAACGCCCGGTGCTGGCCGCTCCTGACGGGGCGGCGGCGCCGGGCACTGACGGGTGAGCGGCGGCGCGCGCGGCGCTGAGCCCGGCCTCTGGTCGGCGGATGACGCAGCTCCGGGAGTCCCTCTCCGGGTCCGGGGCTGCCGAGGACGCTCAGCGCCGCCGCGCGGGGACAGGGGGTCAGCAAGTGGCGGCCGGGGGTGCTCCACTGCGCCCGGCCTGCCTGCAAACTGACATGTTGTGCGGATAAATTTTCAAGTTGCCATTCCTGAAGCACCCTTTGATATCTATAGCGTGGGGTGTTATTCGAAAAAGTCATACCGCCTTGGATTGTGATTCTGAAATGCGTGTTAATATATTATTAAGCTGCATTCATCTTTAGAGCTGAAGGTATCCAGCTTTTATTGATAGCATAGTTCCATAGTGCATTATAACACTATGATAGTTCTTAGAGTTTCTTGTGTCATCTCAACGCCGTTTGATGATAGCATATTGTTCAGTGGAGGGTTTGGTGTTTGTGTTCAGTGTTCACACAGGTAACAGCGAGGTCCAGTAACCTATCGACCTGTTTGCGTTAGTGTATAAGACAGTACCGTACCGATAAGTCGGCATCGGAGACTACTAACTGAAGTCCATGGTGGCATGTGAGAAGCTGAGTGCTCTCTTAGAGTTGTGCACCATGTTGTGCACCATCACTTGGCTCAGAAAATGTGATTACGTCTCGCTGTGGCAAATACAAGAGCCTAACTGGTATCGTGTTCTGTTCTAGCCACTGTGACGTTATCGTGTTGCTGAACTGAAGCTGAACTTTCTGGTGCACCCATCACGTTGTTTGACGCTGTGGTGTTATTGGTTAGCTCAGAAGATATTTTGGCCGAAAGGTGGCAGGAGGGAGTAATGCTCTAGCCGCTCATGCCTAGTTCGCGGTGTTGTCCCGTGCTGAGGCGGGCTGGTGGGGCGCCTTGGTGAGACAACTCGAACACCCGATCCTTGCAGCTGTGCCCATGGCCTTCCTAATTTCTCCAACTCACTTGCCCTTCCTTTTTTCTCTCTCCACAACATGTGCTTTGTGCGACTCCCCTTCAATTCATTTTCCCAGACACCCAGTGGCCGGCACTCGGATATGTTTCTCACCAGTTTAGCCTGTCCCGTAGCTCAGTTGGTAGAGCGCTGGACTCCCGGTAGTGAGAGCCCGGGGTCGAGACGCTCCGGCGCTCGATATTTGAGACTCCTGACGGGGATGGTCTGCGGTTGGTGGGAGCAGCCGCAGCCAGTTGAAGTCAGTGGAGTGGGACAGGCCGTGTCCGGCTTTGAAGGGCACGTTAAACTTTGGCATCTAAATTCTCCCGTTACCCGGAATTGCGCGATCGGACGGTAGGGGTCGGGATCTACGCAACAAGCTCTGTTTAGCGTAGGCTCCGGCTCTGTCAATCCGTCCATTCAAACATTCGAGCTAAATTTATAAAAAAAGACCTTCGCCCACGACTCGTGTCCCAATCATACCCTCCCCGCCACTCCTGTCCCAACCATAGTCTCGCTTGTGTCTGAATCATATCTCATCCACCACTCGTTAACTAATCGTACCTCGCCCACTACTCGTGTGCATCGCGCAAATCGTGCAGTCGATTTTTAGGGACGTGCCCTCGATCACCACTCTTCAGCTGACTGTGACACCCCAGAGACTCCCGCCTCTCCTTCCCTCGCAACTCTCGCTCATCTGTGCCCAATTCCGTCTGACTGTCGCCTGTCCACCGTCTCACACACACTCCGTTCCGTCTCTCCGTGGCCTGTATTGACGTCTGGCGGCGACGGGCGGCGGCCGGGCGGTCTGAGGTAGGGGCCGCCGCCCCGCCTCGCTCGCGCTGTGTACTGGTGAAGGCAGGAGGGCCGGCCGGCCGGCCGGCCAGGCGCGGTGGCGGGCGCTCACAACACACAGCGCCCGCGCGCTGGACGACACACACAGAGACATACAACACGCCCCGGGTGAACGCTGACACACAAACATACATACATACAAACACGTGGCGCGCGCGCATATGTCTTATGGTACAGGCGCGGCCATTTTCAGTCGTGCGCGATGGAGATCGAGAGGATGCCTTCTTCAGTCCATTCAATGGCGAGATGTAATTCATGTCAAATAAATAGGATCTGCTCACTTACAAATGACGCGAGGGGCAGATTTCGCCGCCGTATAAACATCTACACATATGTACAGAACGCATGTACACCAGACTGCACGGTGGCGCCGCCCTGACGGCAGCTGGGACAACTACAACAAGTCGCTCACACGCGATAGTTTTCTCAGCAGAGGCGGTGCGGCTGCGTGGGACAATTGCTGTCACTCGTTCCTCTGACGAGCGGAGATCGACGCTGAACTGTGGCGCAGACAGGGTAATCTGTCTGATGGCAGTGGCTCTGTATAGGCGGCCGGCGACCGACGCGTTACCGGCTATCGTTTGTGAGACATCTCAAACTCCCACTAATAATAGAACAACACTACAAAACCGCTCTGTCCCCTGCGCTCCGCGCGCGAGTCTTTTGATATCACTGTGCTATGCGGCTACGACTGGCGGCGTAGCTCTGGTACGTCCTCAGGTAGTTGTGTGTCGCCACGGGGCCGCCCGCGGCTGGCAGTGACGGTCGGTGGCCGCCTATTGAGCTGACGCCGGCGAGCCGAGCGCCCAGGAGGTGTTGCTGCTGGAGGCGCGACTGTATGCCGGACTGGGCGGGTGGCCGCCGCACGCACTCTGTCACGCCGGCGGAGCCATCGGCGGCTGGGGAGAGAGGGGAGAGAGTCAGAGGAGGTGGAGAGAGTAGGGGAGACGCGAGACCAACCGGCAGGCTGGGGAGAGCGGGGAAACAGCGGCGGTGGAACATGAGAGACGCCACTGACGATTAGATGACAGCGCAGAGTACCGTTCGTATGAGTTCCGTCTGCACTGGAACGCTTGGAATCATCTCTATCGGCGCCAGTTTATCATAATTGATGACTCAGCCATGTTCGCGGTCTATAGGTATGAATGGATAATGGCTCGACAAGAAACCCGTTCACCCAACGTATGCAAATTCATTTAAACACTTCAGTTGCAGAAGCCGGTGATTGAATACGTTCCTATCATTTATATTCAACAACGGCACGTTCCTTCTGCCAACATCACGGCACAGAGGCACAGAAGACGCTAGACGCTAGACACCTCACCCTCGCTGAGGAGCGACCCGCAGCGCCCTGGCGCGTCACCCAGACTCACCACATGCAGCTGGAAGTTGTCGTAGACGTCCTGCAGCTCCTGCAGCTTGTACTCCTCCAGGCAGATGAAGCCGGCCAGGCGGGGCGCGTGCCGACGCGCGCAGTCCACGCAGTGCACCACGTGTCGCTTCTCGTGCTCCTTGATGAAGAGCAGGTTGAACACCTCCATCTGAGGACGGACGGAAGACGGGGGAGTTAGACGGGGGGACGGAAAAATGCAACAGCGACGGAAATATGTTAAACAACGTAGCCAGGGTCGTCGGAAGACTTTGTGAATCTCAAACAGAATTATATCCGTTCTAGACGAATCTGGAACGGATATTGACCGTCGGTATGCAAAGTATATCATGGCGTGGGAGAATGGTTCATAGGCGGCAGAGTAAAATGTTTTCAAGCGAGCAAAACACAGTGAAGTCTACCAGATGCATGGTCAGTAAGTGAACTGACGTGATGAAAATAAATGCACGGTCCAGACAGCGCTATGACGCAAACCGGACGAAACCTAAACATTTACTTTCGTGAACTGAGCACTCCAATAGACGTCCGGAGTCAGCGTTCGGACAGGAAACATTCCCGTCTTGGCATGGCTTCAGATACGGCAGTGTTCCCCGTTCCCGTCCCCTGTCACCACAGTGTCCCGCCCTCCCCTCAGCCCGATCGAGCCTTACCTCACAGACGCCGCAGTAGTGGGTGCTCTCGTTCTTGCCCCGGCCGTGGAAGCGGATGTCGACGTTGCACGCCTTGGTGAACTCGATCATCATCATCACCTGCTTCAGGCCCTTCAGCAGCACCGTCCTGACGACGAGGAGGTAACGGGGTCAATCGGCGCTGGACACGGGGGCGGCTATTAGCCGACAAGCTCTATTTTTAGGTATACTGCCATGAGTATTGCGAGACTTGGCATGAAACTCGCTACTTAAAGACAGTTTGCGAGACCGTAGGCTATTCTTACTCTAGAATACTAAGTCGCCTGACCTATCCCTGGCATTTTGCGTTAACACATACTGAACAATGCTCTTTAAACAATCCACGGACGAACAACTACTTAATATCGATATTTCCGGTGGCTATCCTTAGCAAAGCAAACTATGCCCGTCAAATGTCACCATTTCATTTACCGAAGCTCCTATGTCAATACACTATACCAAGCCTAGAACCTCAGGGAGTCGGTCCTTCGCCTGATCCCACAGCCACAGAGGTAAACCCTCCCCCGCATAAGCCCCGAGCCACTCACTTGATGCTCCTGTGCAGCTTGGGGTCGGAGACGCGGATGTTCCTGGCCAGGTTCCAGCTGAGGTGCTGCATGGGCACGATCGACTTGAAGCGCTGCAGCTTGTTCCACTCGTACCTCTCGACGGCCAGCCGGTGCTGTCGGGCGGTGAGCGGTCCGACGTTCCAGGCGATGTTGTTGCACCAGCCGGACGCCTGCACCCAGTGCACGCAGCCCGTGTTCACCCAGACCAGGTCGCCGGGCCGCTGCATGAACCGGTACACGGGCACGCCGTGATCCAGCAGCTCGTCCATGTCTGGCCACCACGAGCCGTGCAGGTACGAGATGCCGTTCCTGCCGGGCGGAGCGGGGCGGGGGTTAGTAACTACACGGATAATACAACTGGGATGGTATGGTTGGGAGATTTAGACAGCGAATCAGCCAACTATGCACGATAAAATGACTTATCAACTTGGCCCATCATCAGGAATGCAGAACTGTGATAAAAACGAGCTGTTTGCGTGCGCAAATGGAATATTCCCGTTGTTATTTCATCAGACGAACCTGACGACAAACAATGCATCGCATTCAGAGCTTAATCACGCGACAACGACTGCCAAGGCTATTTAACGTGGACTGTCTGACGGGGCCCTACCAGCCACCACCAACCAGCCCGTTCTACTCAGTCAGCCGGTGATCGACACTCACTTTTCGCAGAGGTTGTTGATGACACCCCAGTAGGCGTCTGGGACACCAAACCACTCGCAGTCTCCGGGGCCGATGTTGATGTTGATGGAGCAGAAGTTGTTGTTCTCCTGGTGGCCCGGTGTTCGGCTGCCTGGTACCTGGAGGAGGGGAGAGTGGTCGCAGTTAGAACGGTGGCAAGAAGAGGGACCGATTAGCGGCTTGTATAGGAAAAGACAAGCTGACGGAAGTGTGGACGTACTGAAAATCATTGGGAGATGAGGAAATAACTTATGATGCAACAAACTCGAGAGTGGAATAGCCGATTAACCGGCTTTACATCAGGCATTCCTTAACATAACACTCCCCAGGGACTCATCGTGAACGGTTTCTGTTTTAGCTCAAACCATATCCAAACTTTCCTACATACACAGACCGGTTATTGCTACAGAGTAGAAATAAGAATTCGGTGACTTTAAGTTTAAGGTTGCCAGGAAAGGCAAGAGCAGCCCGCCATTATCATTTACGGTACAAGTACACGGTAAGAGGAGGAGCGATGACCTTCTCTGTCCCTCCCCACCTCCATCAGACTGCTCGATACGCACCTTCATG